GTGCAAGCAATGGAGCGGTGGAACGTTACCTCTGAGGGCGACGTTAACACTCGGACTGGGCCAGTCCGGATGAACACGCTCCTCGCCCTAAGTTCTCAGACTGGGCGGGAGCACCTGTTGCTAGGTGGTAGGCTCGAATGCTACCGTACGTCTACGAAGTGACGAGCGCCCCTGCCAGCAGATCACCTGTCGTGACGCACTGTCACGCCAGCGGCTGTCCACTACAGGGCCCGTAGAAGAAGCCGATGAGGAAAAGGTCGTCATCTGCGTCAGGGCGAACACCTATCACCGCTAACGGAGAAGAAGGTTCGAGAGGCAGCTGTAAAGGACCTGAGGGGTGTTCACGGGCACCGCACACTGCTGCGTGCGGTCGGTGTGCGGTGCGTCCAGCAGGCGGGGGGTAGGGGAGGGGTAGGCGGCTCTGACGTCACGGCTGCGTGCGGTGAACGATCCGCTGTGGCCAGTCCCGACCGGCCACAGCGGTCGCTGTGTGCGGTGACGGAAGGCTGACGTAGGGACGCAGTGGGCGGAGCTTGGAGGCTGTGTGCGGTCCGACCGCACACAGGGCCGTGAACAGCCTCAGCTCTCCAGCAACTGAGTGACGTCATCCTTTCCACTTCAGCAAAACTCGTCCCCTGCTGTCATTTCGGAATTCGGCAACACCGTGAGACTTGCTATAGGCATGTCGTGCCACTCTCCGTATCTCAAATCGTCCATTTGATACTGATGTCCATTGATACGGCTTTAAAGATGCTTCAAAGACGGCAAAAACCCATACGTCCTCGCGACCGAACAGGATAAACTCAATGCAGACAGCATATAACCACATGTCAAAAGCCCTCACGTCGTCCTTGTGTAGTGTAGCGACGTATTGGGTTTTGACGTTGCAAGCATTTCATAATCTGCAAGAACGTCTATGGGTTTACCGACGTGGATTTTGTCACTGGCACATAGGTTAGCCATGACGTGTGGGTTTTCGCCGACGTAGTGGGTTTTGACTGTGTCACTTCCGTGCTTTTCAAAGACGTGGAATTCCAAAATTTGTTTTTCCTCCCCAAAAAGCTTTTTTTGGTTTTTGAAAAAAATCCTCATGGCATGAAATAGAGCTTGCAAGCTGGTCACAATGGTGTAAAAAACGAAAAATGACCCAAAATTGACATGTGGGGTTTTGACTTTGGACGGCAGAATGGTTGGACTTGGTGCTTCATGCTTCCTTGTCTGCCGTTTTCTTTGTTTGTTAGCCATTGCCGCAAGATACATAGGTGCCTCTACTAGCGAGTCTAAAAAATCGGGAGGGGCAAACCATCAACATTTGTTTCTTTGCATATAAAAAGGTATACAAATTTAACAAAGAGGGTATTTAATGCAGGAAATTTCAATACGTTTATGAAAATAATGCAACACGTAAAGCTGATGCAGGCGATGTAAGGCGGCCAAACCTTTCACTTACTTTTTTTGCGGTCCTTCTTCCGCTGTTCATGGCCTGTGGACATTAAAAAATATAGTTAACATTAGGAATAGAACCACTTAACCATGTAATTCTGTTAACATTACATGGTTATGCATGAGAACATAAATTTGGCCGGGGCGTCGCAAGTCCATCTACGACACGTCGCAAGTTACGACACATGTCCCGTCGCAAGTTGTGTCGTAGCGAAAAAGGAGGGATGTTGAGGAAAGAGGGGTTTGTCGGAGGATACGACAGAACGTAGCTACGACGAGGCTTAAATACCCGCTTTACTCGAGAATTTAAAAGGCTACACGATCAGCTGATCCCGTAGTAAACGTCAGTAAGGTCGAAAACTCTATCACGCATAACGGAACATTCGCCTTTCTGGTTTGAGAGCTTATGAGACAGCCAGGTCAAGCATGTTCTCTGATTCTGAAGCTTTGTCTCAACTGGGTGACTTGTGATCGCTAACGCTCACATAATTTGCCATAAAATTTGGGGTCGATCACAGGAGATTCGTGGCTAAAGAGCATCTAGAAGCTATGCTTTAGAAGAAATGAGTTCAGAGAGTTTGAAGTCACAGAGAGGTAAGAGAGTTGAAGTTGGAGGTCACAATTGGAGGTTACAGAGGTCATCTGGGACACGTCAGGTCACAGAAGTCAACTTGGGGACACGTCAGGTCACAGAGGTTAACTTTGGGTCATCACAGAGCTCAATTGGAGGTCAACTGGGACACGTCAGGTCACAAGAGTCAGCTTGGGGTCATCAAAGAGCTCAATTGGAGGTCACGGAGGTCATCTGGGACACGTCAAGTCACAGAGGTCAACTTGGGTCATCACAGAGCTCAATTGGAGGTCATATGGGTCATCTGAGATACGTCAGGTCACAGAGGTCAACTTGGGGGTTATCACAGAGCTCTATTGGAGGTCATGGGGGTCATATGAGACACGTCAGGTCACAGAGGTCAACTTGAGGTCACCACAGGGCTCAATTGTAGGCCATCTGGGGACACTTCAGGTCACAGAGGTCAACTTGGGGTCATCAGAGACCTCAATTTGAGATCAGCTGGGACACGTCAGGTCACAGAGGTCAGCTTGGGGTTATCAGAGGTCACTTAGAGGTCATAGAGGTCATCTGGGACACGTCAGGTCAGAGAGGTCAACTTGGGGTCATCACAGAGCTCAATTTGAGATCATCTGGGACACGTCTGGTCACAGAGGTCAGCTTGGGCTCATCACAGAGCTCAATTGGGACACGTCAGGTCACAGAGGTCAGCTCGGAGTCATGAGAGAGCTCAATTGGAGGTCATATAGGACTCGTCAGGTCACAGAGGTCAACTTGGGGTCATCACAAAACTCGGAAGTCATCTGAGACACGTCAGGTCACAGAGGTCAGCTCGGAGTAATGAGAGAGCTCAATGGGAGGTCACGGAGGTCATCTGAGACACGGCAGATCACAGAGGTCAACTGGGGTCATCACAGAGCTAAATTGGAGTCATGGGGGCCATCTGAGACACGTCGTTTTTGGAATTGGGAGAATCTTTTGGGGGATGCCCCTCGCAACGTCCAAGATCGCCTTTCTGGACTCGCCAGTAGTTGCTGGAATGATATAAGGCTGCTTTGTATCCCTGAATACCCCAATGAATTTGAATATAACATATTATGCACCATTTTTAAACACTCGCTGGCACGGATTGAGGCCTCACAGATGATCCGTCGGTTCAAGCTCTATAACTCGCGTTAGCGTCAACGGATTGTAACCAAATTTTAACTCAAGTTCAAACAATTTTACACTAACCATGTAAATTTCGTGACCATGGCCCGAATGACCTGTGACCTGTGACCTCTTCCTCAAAGCAAGGTTAGCTTACGACACAACTTACGACTGCTATTTCAAATTCGTAAGTTGTGTCGCAAATCAGGCAACTTGCGACAGGCTTTACTACTTAAGTAACGCTACTCATCGATTGATCCCTCCAAAAACGACTTACTACACAACTTGCGACACGTCGCAGTTACGACGAGGCTTACGACGCTCTGGATTCCTCCGGCCAAAAAGATCTTTTCGCTTCATGTCTTGTTAAAGATTTTGAGTTTGTCGTTTCGTTAGCACGACGTCCCCTAAACCTGCACCTGTCTACTGCTTTTTTTTGCCACCCCGAACAAGAACGACTGAGGAGGGGGGGGGGGGGGCTTGATACGACCCCACTTACGTTTCGCTCCCATGGAACTAAAAACAGCAAATTTTCATGGGAAAGGGGCTCATGAGTCCTCGCTCCCTAACTACATCAATATTTAGAGGGTTTGCATGATAAAAGCCAGCATTAAAAATAAAAATGGCGCTTTTCAGCACGAAACGCTACGTGTCTCGAAAAAAAACATAAAAGCTAGAACAATTAAGATAGCATTCGATAACTTAGAACAAGCCCTATCGAGCTTTATCAAAATATTTTGTCTCAATACGTTAAGCTCAAGATTTCACCAAAGGAGACGCAGTGAGTGTTGCTTAAATACTTTTTTGCATATGACATTTCATATGTAACAGATTTAGCAAAATTGCAAACGAGGCCGAGGGTAGACGAGGTTGGGTGGCGGGCGGCGCTTCACGCCGCCATCGAGCTGCTATTGCAAAAAAAAAAAAAATCGCCCATGGGTCGGATTCCCTCCCTCCTCAGACGGACGTGAGTAAAGGCATTCTCGCATGGACAATGCAGTTATTGAGCGATACGCTTATTATCCTGCATCGATCGCAGTGCTTCAATAAATGCATATGAACTCACCTATGCAATTGCCCTCCCACTATAAAACTTCAGGCCGGACTATAGTCTGTTCCATATCAAGCTTGCGGTCGGAGTCCCCTTGGCAGTTCCAGGCAATTCGCTGAGCGCGCTACTCCATTCAATAATTTGAGTCTTAGAATGTAAGATGTATGCACAGAAATCACGCACTGCCTTCAACAGAGCACTTCAGCCGCAAGCTTGACATGGAACACGCTATAGATGTAGTGAATGCGCCTCACCTCCTTCATCGTCCTCTTGGCGATCATCAGCCGGACCGCCCTCATTTTCAGAGCCTGGCTCGTCGAAGTCCTCTGAAAACCGTCTCTGTCAGATTTAAGAATATGTGTGATGCAAAATAAGTGCCTGCCATAATGGGCAAGCATTTCTGAAAAAAAAAAAAACGCTGAACGGAACATATGTGCTACGGTGGTACCCGGACTGCTTTGGCTATCCGCGCTCGTCCTTAATCTGAAGTACAGCACCATGGGTCTGCATATAACCTAGTAGTACCAGTGAACTTTAACGGTCTTACATTGCCTTCGCTCTGTACGATTCTCTTCATGGTGTTATTGCATTGCCTCTTTAACACTACATTGCAAATTAATGCTTTAACTGCATGAAATGTCTGCTAAAATGACAGACGAATGGTGATGTTACGATTAGCACATGTACAAACGATTAGTTACCTTCAGTGAGCATCTCCTCCAGGCTCCGTCCGCTATATTTTGAGAGGCATCCTTCGTCCAGCTTCATCATCAGGATGGAGGCACGCGTCAGTTCGTGAGTAGCGTCTGACAGTCTGTAGTACCCACGATGCACGTCTTTGTCATGTCCCATGTGCCGGGTGAGCACCTCCATATCGAATTCACCCATCTCTAGAATCTGGGACGTTGTAGCACAATATTTCCGTAGTTTTGTTGCATGGAAGAGATCTGCCCTGTTTAGTGCCATGTCCGACAACTGCTCTTTAAGCACCACGCCTGCGTTGTAGTGTCCTGTAGTCCTCGCCAGAGGGTTTGCGAACAGATACTTGTTATCCTTGTCAATGTACGTCTCCCGGTTGTCTACCAGTAGCTGCAGCGGAGCCGCGCAGTCGCTCGGTATCAGGGTGGGGACCTTGTTCCCGCACTTGCCGCGGGACATGACGACGTCGAGCTCGTTGAACAACTTCTTTTCTGTTTCACCCATTGACTTGTTCACTTCTTCTACCGTCTCTTGTTTGTACATCTCTCGGTTGATCCATGATTGCAGCAGGATGCTGCTAAGCTCCTTAGGACGGCGTTTGTTGAATACTAGCAAACGGGCGAGAACCGCTTTGCTCAGCCTTGCATAGTCTGTCATGCCATGTATTCCCTTTTCTGTCATTTCTTTCACTCGTTCCTTCATTTTTTCGGTGAAAAGCTTCAAATCGCTGGTAAAGGGCAGCATGTCTTTCTTGTCATACTTGTTCGACTCGCGGTTCTTCAGCGCTACGCTGCTGATCTTCACATTCCAGAATTGGTCCACGTGATACAAGAACGCCTCAGCATCTTTCACTTCGCTTTCTTCTTTCTTGATCAGCGCAATGCCCTTCTTGAGAGCAGCCAGCTGTCGTAGTTCGCCTCCAATCCGCATGGCCTTTGAAGGAGTTTTGTATGTGGGCAGCCCCGTGTGGGCGTTTAGCTTGTCCTGCTCAAACCCACAGACGGATTTGGTGGCACTTACAACCGTATCAAATCCTTCGCCATTGATCAGCTCTTGCATGCTCTTTCCGGCTGCTTGGACAACTTCGCCCATCATCCTTAGGCGCTGGCTTATCTGCGCAAAACCCGACCTTCCAAGTTTCGCGTGCAAGTTGGCACCCCACTTCTTCAGGAGTTCATCGTTCTTTATGGTCTTCGTAACTGCATCGTCGTGCATACGAGACAATATGTCCTTGTGATACCCAGTATTTTCTTCTTGGCCGTCACTCAGGAGCGTCCGGCTCTCTGCCAGCACCGTGGGAATGTCTGGGCATTCTGTTTTGCGAGCCACACAGTGATGTTTTATGTGCTGCATCATGTTGGTTTTAACCACAAAAAGATAGCAGTAAGGACATGGCACGTAGTCGTCCACGGACGCCTGGTCCGACTTCCTTCCCAAGATCATGTCACCTTCACCCCTTTGTAGGACGAGTTTGTTGTGCTCCATGTTGCCTTTGTTGATCATCACGGTGATTTTCATTTTTCGTTCCTGCTCAGAATCACACTCCTGTATATCCTTGACTTCCTTCTCGTCACGGTGGACCGTCTTGATATGGCGCCATATCAGATTTCTCTTTTGCTTGCAATATATGCAAACATTTTTTTTCCGCACTTCGCCGCACGATGCGCCGTTCCTCGCCGACTGAGATGTACGCGACTGAGAACTGTGCTGGGGCGGAGCCACCTCAACACCGTCGCTGACATCAGACTCAGCTCCCTGTTCTCCGTATTCGTTCTCCTCCAAATGGTGGTTCTCGGGAGCCGTGATCTCTGTTTGATTGCACATCAAGTGCTCAGGAAAAGTCCATGTGCCATGGTCCCCTGCATCCTGGACTGAAGCCCTCGAAGTAGAGCAGGTGGGTGACATAAGGTCGTACTCGCTTGCAGAGAACGGCGTCATGTCGATCAGTTCAGTTGGCAGTGCTGTTGAATAAGAGGTTTTTACTGACCCACAAACTCCCGTCTCAGAGGTAGGTGGGGAAACACGAGACGGGGCTCCAACCGTCGCCCCAGTAGTTGTACACAGATGAAGAGCATCCCATCTTCTAGCGTCCGGGGTCGGGACGGGCGGCAGGCCTCCAGCCGCAGTCTCGGAAGTCGCACGCAGATGACGGGCATCAGCCCGCCTTCCCGCTTCAGAGGTCGGGACGGGCGGCGGGGCTCTGGCCGCAGTCTCAGAAGTCTCACGCAGATGATGAGCACCCCACCTTCTAGCGTCCGCGGTCGGGACGGGCGGCGGGCCTCCGGTCGCAGTCTCAGAAGTCTCACGCAGATAAAGAGCATCCCACCTTCCAGCGTCCGGGGTCGGGACGGGCGGCGGGGCTCCGGTCGCAGTCTCAGAAGTCTCACGCAGATGAAGAGCATCCCACCTTCTAGCGTCCGGGGTCGGGACGGGCGGCGGGCCTCCGGTCGCAGTCTCAGAAGTCTCACGCAGATGAAGAACATCCCACCTTCCAGCGTCCGGGGTCGGGACGGGCGGCGGGGCTCCGGTCGCAGTCTCAGAAGTCTCACGCAGATGAAGAGCATCCCACCTTCCAGCGTCAGAGGTCGGGACGGGCGGCGGGGCTCTGGCCGCAGTCTCAGAAGTCTCACGCAGATGATGAGCATCCCACCTTCCAGCGTCCGGGGTCGGGACGGGCGGCGGGCCTCCGGTCGCAGTCTCAGAAGTCTCACGCAGATGATGAGCATCCCATCTTCCAGCGTCCGGGGTCGGGACGGGCGGCGGGCCTCCGGTCGCAGTCTCAGAAGTCTTACGCAGATGAAGAGCATCCCACCTTCCAGCGTCAGAGGTCGGGACGGGCGGCGGGGCTCTGGCCGCAGTCTCAGAAGTCTCACGCAGATGAGCATCCCACGTTCTAGCGTCAGAGGTCGGGACGGGCGGCGGGGCTCCGGTCGCAGTCTCAGAAGTCTCACGCAGATGAAGAGCATCCCACCTTCCAGCGTCCGGGGTCGGGACGGGCGGCGGGGCTTCGGTCGCAGTCTCAGAAGTCTCACGCAGATGAAGAGCATCCCATCTTCCAGCGTCAGAGGTCGGGACGGGCGGCGGGGCTCTGGCCGCAGTCTCAGAAGCCTCACGCAGATGATGAGCATCCCACCTTCTAGCGTCCGGGGTCGGGACGGGCGGCGGGGCTCTGGCCGCAGTCTCAGAAGTCTCACGCAGATGAGCATCCCACGTTCTAGCGTCAGAGGTCGGGACGGGCGGCGGGGCTCTGGCCGCAGTCTCAGAAGTCTCACGCAGATGATGAGCATCCCACCTTCCAGCGACCGGGGTCGGGACGGGCGGCGGGGCTCTGGCCGCAGTCTCAGAAGTCTCACGCAGATGAGCATCCCACGTTCTAGCGTCAGAGGTCGGGACGGGCGGCGGGGCTCTGGCCGCAGTCTCAGAAGTCTCACGCAGATGATGAGCATCCAACCTTCTAGCGTCCGGGGTCGGGACGGGCGGCGGGCCTCCGGTCGCAGTCTCAGAAGTCTCACGCAGATGAAGAGCATCCCACCTTCCAGCGACCGGGGTCGGGACGGGCGGCGGGGCTCTGGCCGCAGTCTCAGAAGTCTCACGCAGATGAGCATCCCACGTTCTAGCGTCAGAGGTCGGGACGGGCGGCGGGGCTCTGGCCGCAGTCTCAGAAGTCTCACGCAGATGATGAGCATCCAACCTTCTAGCGTCCGGGGTCGGGACGGGCGGCGGGCCTCCGGTCGCAGTCTCAGAAGTCTCACGCAGATGAAGAGCATCCCACCTTCCAGCGTCCGGGGTCGGGACGGGCGGCGGGCCTCCGGTCGCAGTCTCAGAAGTCTCACGCAGATGAAGAGCATCCCACCTTCCAGCGTCCGGGGTCGGGACGGGCGGCGGGCCTCCGGTCGCAGTCTCAGAAGTCTCACGCAGATGAAGAGCATCCCACCTTCTAGCGTCCGGGGTCGGGACGGGCGGCGGGCCTCCGGTCGCAGTCTCAGAAGTCTCACGCAGATGAAGAGCATCCCACCTTCCAGCGTCAGAGGTCGGGACGGGCGGCGGGGCTCCGGTCGCAGTCTCAGAAGTCTCACGCAGAAGAGCATCCCACCTTCCAGCGTCAGAGGTCGGGACGGGCGGTGGGGCTCTGGCCGCAGTCTCAGAAGTCTCACGCAGATGAGCATCCCACGTTCTAGCGTCAGAGGTCGGGACGGGCGGCGGGGCTCTGGCCGCAGTCTCAGAAGTCTCACGCAGATGATGAGCATCCAACCTTCTAGCGTCCGGGGTCGGGACGGGCGGCGGGCCTCCGGTCGCAGTCTCAGAAGTCTCACGCAGATGAAGAGCATCCCACCTTCCAGCGTCCGGGGTCGGGACGGGCGGCGGGCCTCCGGTCGCAGTCTCAGAAGTCTCACGCAGATGAAGAGCATCCCACCTTCTAGCGTCCGGGGTCGGGACGGGCGGCGGGCCTCCGGTCGCAGTCTCAGAAGTCTCACGCAGATGAAGAGCATCCCACCTTCCAGCGTCAGAGGTCGGGACGGGCGGCGGGCCTCCGGTCGCAGTCTCAGAAGTCTCACGCAGATGATGAGCATCCCATCTTCTAGCGTCCGGGGTCGGGACGGGCGGCGGGCCTCCGGTCGCAGTCTCAGAAGTCTCACGCAGATGAAGAGCATCCCACCTTCCAGCGTCCGGGGTCGGGACGGGCGGCGGGCCTCCGGTCGCAGTCTCAGAAGTCTCACGCAGATGATGAGCATCCCATCTTCTAGCGTCCGGGGTCGGGACGGGCGGCGGGCCTCCGGTCGCAGTCTCAGAAGTCTCACGCAGATGATGAGCATCCCATCTTCTAGCGTCCGGGGTCGGGACGGGCGGCGGGGCTCTGGCCGCAGTCTCAGAAGTCTCACACAGATGAAGAGCATCCCACCTTCCAGCGTCCGGGGTCGGGACGGGCGGCGGGGCTCCGGTCGCAGTCTCAGAAGTCTCACGCAGATGAAGAGCATCCCACCTTCCAGCGTCAGAGGTCGGGACGGGCGGCGGGGCTCTGGCCGCAGTCTCAGAAGTCTCACGCAGATGATGAGCATCCCACCTTCTAGCGTCCGGGGTCGGGACGGGCGGCGGGCCTCCGGTCGCAGTCTCAGAAGTCTCACGCAGATGAAGAGCATCCCACCTTCCAGCGTCCGGGGTCGGGACGGGCGGCGGGGCTCCGGTCGCAGTCTCAGAAGTCTCACGCAGATGAAGAGCATCCCATCTTCCAGCGTCAGAGGTCGGGACGGGCGGCGGGGCTCTGGCCGCAGTCTCAGAAGCCTCACGCAGATGAGCATCCCACGTTCTAGCGTCAGAGGTCGGGACGGGCGGCGGGGCTCTGGCCGCAGTCTCAGAAGTCTCACGCAGATGAAGAGCATCCCACCTTCCAGCGTCCGGGGTCGGGACGGGCGGCGGGCCTCCGGTCGCAGTCTCAGAAGTCTCACGCAGATGAAGAGCATCCCACCTTCTAGCGTCCGGGGTCGGGACGGGCGGCGGGGCTCCGGTCGCAGTCTCAGAAGTCTCACGCAGATGAAGAGCATCCCACCTTCCAGCGTCAGAGGTCGGGACGGGCGGTGGGGCTCTGGCCACAGTCTCAGAAGTCTCACGCAGATGAGCATCCCACGTTCTAGCGTCATAGGTCGGGACGGGCGGCGGGGCTCTGGCCGCAGTCTCAGAAGTCTCACGCAGATGATGAGCATCCAACCTTCTAGCGTCAGAGGTCGGGACGGGCGGCGGGGCTCCGGTCGCAGTCTCAGAAGTCTCACGCAGATGATGAGCATCCCACCTTCTAGCGTCCGGGGTCAGGACGGGCGGCGGAGCTCCGTCCATCGCATGGGTAGCCGGTCGCAGCCCATGAGTCGTCATAGTCAAGTCAAGTCCAGGATATTTGTGGTATACATGATACTCAGTGGTGTGAGGAGGGGTTTCATCCACGCGGCCGGCTGACCCAGGAGATGAAGGGAGGACTTCTGGAAAGAAAAGATATGGCAACGCATAAGGAAGCATGGCGGTAGGAGGATGAATGCTGTCTTGATTTTTTAACCATCACCAGTGATTCGGCGAGTGATTTTAAAATGTAGGATCAGGTAGTGAGCCAAAAAAAGAACAATGTCTAAAGAAAAACCAGAAAAACGATTGAATTATGATGTGTTGATTAGCATAGATACAAGTAGATTTGGGTGGACTGAGTAACTGGTAACAACACAAATGTAGGCACCATAGTCACGTCTTACCTCGTCCATTTTTACGTGAGTGACGCTGCGCGCCTTTATGTCTGCCACGGGAGTGGAGAGCAGCAAGCAGCATCCTCTTCCCATATGATCCAGCTATGCGCCCTGTCAAATATTGATAGCTATTAGCTAACATAAAATACTAAAGGAAGTTTCCCAGCCAGCAATTGGTTTGGCTCAAGTCCGTTTTGCCCTAGCGACTCCGGCACGCCAGATTTGGGCCGGTGTAAACGGAACGCCGTCGGAATAAGAGTTTGGGTCGATATGGCTCTATTCCGGTTAACCAGTCTTTGCCGTAGCGTTCCGGAGCTAGTATGGCTTCGGACCGACAAGTCCGGCCGGCACTAGCGAGCGGTGGCCTGACCTGACCTTGCCGGAGGGGCCGTGACGTCACCGGCGGGCGGTCAGAGCGAGTCGGCAGAGCCTCACTCTACGCGGCCCGAGCGAGCAGTGAGGATCGGTGAATAGGACATAGGGGAGGGAGGGGAGGGGAGGGGAGGGAGGGGAGAGAGAGAGAGAGAGAGAGAGAGAGAGAGAGAGAGAGAGAGAGAGAGAGAGAGAGAGAGAGAGAGAGAGAGAGAGAGAGAGAGAGAGAGAGAGGCGGCCGGCCAATAATTAGGCAGCCAACACTGAGTTGAATGAAGCACACGATGCTGACAACGTTACGGAGTTAACTATAAGATAATGTCATGCGTTTAATGTGATTGGATTTTTCACTTAAATGCTTTCTTCCTTTGTGACCCACAACCCCTAATTTGGGGAGGACAAGCTGCCCCAACGGTTCCTGACCTTATGAAAAGTTGTGGGGCACCGCCCCCACGGCCCCAGAGTTGTGGGGGCTAGCTGCCCCACTGCCCCCGGTTCCCGCGCCTATGTATGAATCTATGAAATTATGTTGGTATATTTCCGATTTCGATCCCTCCAGTTGGAGGGGCTCAAATACCTTACGAGCCCCCCTTCCCAGCCGAAAAGTTGGAGGGGCTCAGCACCCCCTAGCCCCCCCCCCCGGCTCCCGCGCCACTGCCCCCCCCCCCCCAAGGCAAATCATGGG